TTCCCAGTTTTTTGACAAGTATCACAACTTTTAACGTATTTCCTAGCATTCCAGTACATTGTTGGCCAATAAAATTTTGATTTTCATACCTTTACTATGGTTTTTGAAGTATTAAAATGACCACCCGTTTTTAGGTTATGACAATGACATAAAATATCACATACCTCGCTTTTGGGAATACATCTACGTATTATACCATCGACACAATACTTATAAAGTAGTGGATCTTTTCAAAAGTAATTTTTGACATCATGCAATAATTTCTTCTTTTAGTAATAATTAAAACCCTTTGGCATTACTTCACTTACCAAATAATTGGCAAAATCTACATACCATGGAGAATTAATAATTGTTAGAACAAATTCGTCTGAAAAATTCTCTTTAATTGGAAGTTAATCATTGGTAGGAACGTACTCTAGTCGCGATAGGTGATCCGCCACAAGATTTTCTGATCCCTCTTTATCTTTTATTTTCACATCAAATTCCTGTAAGGGGAAAAAGTCCCAGTGGCCCTCAAACTATTAGTCGGATGAACTTTTGGCCCCCAAACGATTAAAAGTAAACTTTTGGCCCCTGATCTATCCAAAGTGCAAAATGTTAGACTTTTTGTCAAATTCAGCAGTTAATACTGACGGAAACTACGACCACGTGAGATGCACGCCAAAATACGAATGACATTTTTGTCCACAATGAGCTGTGTTCCACTCGGTAAAATGAGAGTTCTTCTGATAAGCCACCATCACTGCTAAGGTGCCCTGGGATTACATCTTTACCCAATGTATCGGATTCTGGTTGACTTTCAGTTCTTTGCTACTGTGCTTGTTCCATTAACAAAGAGATATGGATGTCTTGTAAGAACCTATGCCAACTGTATCAGATGCGATTTTTTTTTCCTTATTTTTCTATTTTTGCATTTAAGCTCTGGATAGACAGATATCCAACAATTGGATAAAAAAAAGACATTTACAACCATTAGCATGTAAATTAAAATTACATGGCAGTTTCTAGAAAATTGATTGGAGAAAACTCTATGGCTCTGCTGTACAGGAAAAAGCAATGGGCACATTTACCTGATTTATTAAAGTGCAAGTGCTACACTGCCACGACAATTGAAGATCTTTAATACCACTGCTTTGAGCATTGCCAAGAATTTGACATCAGATCAGATTCATTATCGCACACAGTAGAGGATTGAGAACTTTCAAAAGATCCTTCACTTTCTGTAGATTTGGAACCACATCATCATGTAATGTCCTTTCTGCGACCATAGCAGCAGCTTGTTTTGCGCTCAGGGCGGCCTTAATGCTATTGTCACCACCAAGTCGCATTGGTCCAGATGGCAAAATAGCTGCACTCTGAGCTCTATTTTCTGTAGCTGCCAATGCAGACTGCCGGAGTGATGACAAAGGGGGCTGCCGGGAAAAGCCACCCAGTCGTCTACTAGGGAGATCAAATCCTTGCCCAGTGCCTGTAATTCCCTTGCCATAAGATCTTCACATTCCTGAAAATTTTACTGAGTGGAACACAGCTCATTGTGGACAAAAATGCCCTTCGTATTTCGGCGTGTGTCTCACGTGGTCGTAGTTTCGGTCGATATTAACTGCTGAATTTGATAGAAGGTCTAACATTTTGTACTTTAGATAGATCGGGGGCCAAAAATTTACTTTTAATTATTTGAGGGCAAAAAGTTCATCCAGCTAATAGTTTGAGGGCCAATGGGAACTTTTTCCCCTTCTTGTAATAAGAGAATCCATCAGATTAGACGAGTTTTTTTCCATCTTTCTTATGGAACAAATATTCAAAAGCTGAATAGTCCGTATAAATGATCACTTTAGATCCTACTAAATAGAATTTAAATTTATCTAAAGCAAATATCACCACCAATAACTCTTTCTCTGTTGTTGCATAATTGAGTTGTGTTTCATTAAATAACTTGCTTGCATTATAAATGACATGCAACCTTTCTTCCTTCTTTTGATGTAAAACAGCTCCAACAGAGTAGTCAGTTGCATCACACATCAATTCAAATGGTAGCGACCAATCCGGTGAAATTATAATGGGTGCAAAAGTTAACTCCTTCTTCAACCTATCAAAAGTAGTTAAATATTTATCATCAAAATGAAAAGGAGTATCTTTACATAATAAATCACACAACGGTTTAACTATTTTAAAATTTTTTTAATAAATCTTCTATAAAAGTTAATGTGTCCAAGAAAACTTCTTATCCTCTTGATATTGTTTGGAGGTGATATTTGTTCGATGACTTCTATTTTTGCCTTATTCACCTTAATTCCCTTAGAGAAAATTTTATGCTCTAAGGCAATTCCTTCTCTAACCATAAAATGGCATTTCTCTCAATTTAGCATAAGATTTGTCTCTTCACACCATTACAAAATCAAATCTAAATTATGAAAATAATGGTCAAAAGAAGAACCAAATATTGAATAATCGTCCATAAATATCTCCATATTTTTCTCAATATAATTAGAAAATATGGCCATCATGAAATGTTGGAATGTAACAGGGGTATTGAAAAGGCCCAATGGCATCCTCCTAAAAGTAAAGGTGCCATAAGGACAAGTAAATGTGACCTTCTCTTGATCCTCCGAAACTATAGCTATTTGGTTATAATATGAAAAAGTATCAAGAAAATAATAAAATTTATAACTTGTTATTCGCTCCAAAAGTTGATCAAGAAAGGATAAGGGAAAGTGGTCTTTTCTAGTAACAACATTTAATTTTCGATAATCAATATACACTTTCCATCCGACCACGAGTCGAAATGGAATCATTTCATCATTTTTACCCATGACTATAGTAATTCCACTTTTTTTAGGGACAACATGAATTGGACTAATTCAAATACTGTCAGAGATAGGAAAGATTATACCTGCATCGGACCATTTGAGAATTTCATTTTTTACTACCTCTTTCATATTTGGATTGAGTCTTCTTTGTATTTTCACCATCGGTTTGCAATTGTTTTCTAATAATATGTGATACATACATATAAAAGGACTCATACTCTTGATATCTGAGATTGTCCACCCAATTACCTTCTTATGCTTTCTTAGAATCTTTAGCAATTTCGCACATTGTTTCTCATCTGGGTGAGCACTTATAATTACAGGTAGAGTGTTATTTTCTCCAAAAAAATTCATACCTTAGATGATTTGGAATTGGCTTGAGTTCTATTTTGGATTTTCAATTTTCGAGGGTGGTGGGAGCCCTTTTTCTTGACCAAAATTTTCATAGATATTACCCAATTTGTAAGGTGTTTGATAATTCAAATATTTGGCCAATTCTTCAACTTCTTTACAATCTCCCTCTTGCATCGCTAAACTCATTAAACAAAACTCAAGAGGATTGAAGTCAAAGTTGACTTGACTCAACTCTTGGGTTAGCTTATCAATAATACCAATAGAACATGCATGATTAGTAAAAGAAGGTTATTTTTATCATTCATTCAAATTAAATTTTATCTCTTCTTCATCTATTTGAAACTTAAATTTGACATTTTTAATATCGATAATAGTACCTATAGTTGCTAAAAATGGTTTTTCAAGAATAATTGGTATAGACATATCTTCTTCCATATCTAATATCACAAAATTCACAGAAATGATAAATTTTTGCACTTTAATCAATACATTTTCCAACATCCCCAATGGATATCTAATAAACTTATCGGCTAACTACAAAGTAATATTAGTGCGTTTATACTCATACAAACTTAGTTGTCTAGTCACCGTTAAAGGAATTAATAATACATTCACACCAAGGTCACATAATGTTTTAAAAAATTCGATGTTACCGATAGTATATGGTATAGAGAAACTCTTTATATCTTTCAATTTTGGTGACAGTTTGTTTTGTATGATGGCACTACACTCTTCCGTTAATGCTATTATTTCACAATCCTCTAATTTCTCTTTTGAATCATGATCTCCTTGAAAAATTTCGCATATGAAGGAATCTGCAAAATAGCATCAGCAAAAGGGATATTAATATGCAATTGTTTAAAGATTTTAACAAACTTCTCAAATTCTTTATCAAGCTTATTTGCTTTGAACCTTTGAGGGAATGGAACCGTCGAAGGTATCGGAATGGTAGTGGTAGATGAGAGTTGATCTACACTTTGTTTTTCTCTGCTATTCTTCCCCACACTTGACTCTTGGTTCTCCCTCTCATTTTTTTTTTCACTCTAATTTTTTCTCTTACTTTCAACCACTGTAGAATCTTCTAATTGTCTACCACTATGAAGGGTAATGGCTTTAATATACTCCCTCGAATTCACCTCCATTTTATTCAGCAATTCTCCTTTGTTTCTATTATTGATAGAATTGGCAATTTGACCTATTTGGACCTCCACATTTCTATACATCATGGTAAATTGATCCAATCTTCCCTTTAATCACTCAAATCTTTTCGAAGTGCCCTTGGCCAACTTTTCTACCGCAATCTCCCAATCCTGTGTAGTGTCTGTCTGTGGTTTCCTTGGTTGGAATTTCTATGGGTTAGTCGGCCTTTGAGAATTGCTTTGATCCTTCTATCTAAATTTTGGATGATTTCTCCACCCCAAATTTTCTGTGTTTGAATAGGGGTTAATTTGAGTATTTTTATTAAAATTATTGACAAATTCAGCCTACTTAAAATCAACACACTTATTAGTATTAAGTTAACCCCAACAAGTAGAATAACATGCAACATGTACATTAGACAAAGAACTCGGACCAACTCCGATTTGTCTACTTAGCAATTTCACTACATTGTTCATTGAGCACTTAACATATTTAGAGCATCCATTTCAATCATACCTGATTGCCGTCTAGAATTGCCTGGCTCATTCGCCCATGTTGTTTGCCGCCATTTTCTCTATTAAGTTTTGAGTTTCTTTGGGTGATTTACCCATTAACGCTCTACCTGCATGCGCATCAATTGTAGTTTTAGTCAAAAGTGATAAACAATTATGGAAGGTTTGGACTATGAGCCAATCGAAAAATCCATGATGAGGACATTTTCGTATCAAATTTCTAAATCTTTTCCAACCTTCATGCAATGATTTACATTCTTGTTGACTAAAACTAGTTACTTCCATTTTAAACTTAACTATTTTACCGGGTGGAAAGTATTTGTCCAAAAATGGTCTAGATAAATTATGCCAAGTGGTGAAAGTATTTGGAGTATGAGAATATAAGCAAACTTTAGCATTATCTTGCAAAGAAAACGGGAACAACCTTAGCGTTATGACATCTTCACTAATTCCATTCATTTTAATGGTATTACATATTTTAAAAAATGTGGCTAAGTGCGCATTTGGATCCTCTACGGCATTACCTTCAAATTGAAATTGTTGAACAATTTGAATGAATGATGGTTTAATTTCAAAATTGTTAACATTTACTGTTGGCCATGCTATGCTCGTTTGTGATCCTTGAGTCCCTGGAAGAGCAAAATCTCTAAGAGCTTGCCTATTTGTTTCGTTTTTCGTCATTTCTTCGTCAAAAGGTAATTCTATAGTGATTCCCTCGATATGTTGAACCTCTTCTTCTTTTTATGGTGTACGCCTTCTTTGTCGTGTTAGTATCCTTTCAATTTTTGGAACAAAAAAGTACAACTACACGTAACGTCCAGTGCATACACTACAAGCAAGAAGAAAAAAGATAATGCAGTATTTATATCACAAAAACGAATAAAAATTCTAATCTATCTATTGACAAAATTCAACTAACTAATAAAGAAAATGTCTAAATTAATAAAACTTGCTAGACCCTAATATTGTCACTCTCCGACAACGGTGCTAAAAACTTGACAGTTCTCAATTTAAGTGTAAATTTAATCCAAAATATGCCTGTTTAACTGTAAGTATACAGGTCAAATAGTAGTTTAGAACATATATCGGATCGATCCCACGAGGAGCAACTATTACAAGTATTAGGCCTTTTACTTGCTCTATTATTTAAACTATCTATTGAATAAAGGTAGTAGAAATAACAATACTTACTAACCAACTATTTTAACTAAATAACTTACAAAATAACAATGAAAAAATGTCACTAAATACTTGAGTCTAAAAAAATAGAGTCCACTTATGGCACAAAAGATACAAGTGAATAGATTTACGTCTTGTTTAATAAGAAATTGATATTCAAATTTATCAAAACTCACTCTCATAATGTAGTGATTTATAATAGTCCAGTTTTTCCTATTCTCATGGTGAATAACTAATCTACTTTTTTTTTCTTCATGAAATGCAAGGTTAATTCACTTAAGTGTACCTCTATTCTCTTGAGTCTCCTCCTTAAATTCCATTTATATTATTCTATCATTATCACCAATTTTCATTGAATGAAAACAACTAAAAATTTGCTATTGGTGATCGAGCAATAACAAATAATAAGCATGCTTAATGGACAAGTTAATACAAGAAGTATTAAGTGTAAATCATATTCAACTCATATCAAGTAGTCATAAGTTTCATCTACTCCTTAGATCTAGAAATTTAGCCACTTATGTGATATAAGACAATAAAGAGCATAACTTCATTGCATGCTAACATAATGAATCACCAGTAAAGAGAAAGATAGAGAATACTTAGCCAAGGTGATGAACAAGCTACCGATCTTCTATTTCTTCAACAAAATAAGTGATACAATGAGTTCTTCAAGTTTTTCTTACAAGTTTCTAGCTAGAGAGAAGAAGAAAAGACTACAACTAATTTCTACCGAGAACTAGCAATAACCTCTTCTCTCTTCAGTGATTCTTACATATATAATGCTAGGAGAGTCAAAAAGTGGAAAATGATATGACATAAAGCTCCTCTTTTCTTTCCTAAGGAATTTTGAGCATGCTCGGCCGAAATTCTGAGCTAAAATTGAGTTGGAAAGCAGTGTGAAAACATAGCAAGTTGCACAATAATAGGGCACAATACGCGACCCTACAATACGCGATCTAAGCCCACGTATTCGAGGTCACGTATTGCCTTTTGGTACAATTTCTTGCTTCTTTTCTGCTTTAGTTGATCACGAACATCCTGTTCAGGTGTTTGCTCATATATTTCAACAATAATACTTGTATTTGATGCTCTTCTACTTCTCGAATTGCCTTTGAATCAAGCACTAATGAATTCGAATTAAATCCATCTCGATCCAATGTTGATAATTCATATCAATTCCTACAAATATAACCAATTTTGCACATTAAGTTGCTCAATTGAAACTCACAAAATTTAGAAGCTCAGGGAGCAAATTACATCTTAAAACATCCTAATTTGTACCAAAAATAGGCAGAAAATGCTAATTAAAAGCACTCATAATAAACACTTATCAATTCCTCTTTAAATAGAGTTTTTATTGAGTTTGTTTCATAACTTTGGAAGGCTAGAGACACTACAAAAAATGTAGTCTTTACTAGTTTTTCTTAGTTCATTAGTATAGTACAGTTAGTGTACTTTATTCTTCTTGTATTTATAGATAGATTTAGATGAAAAATTAAGGAGCAAGATGGAGAGTTTGGAACTCATGTGACAAGGGTGACTTCTCTCCTATCACTTTTTCTTTTGTATTTGAGTTCTTGTTTAGCTATAATGCAAGTATGGTTTTTTCTTTCATTTTATCATGTGTTGCTAAAGTTTATGTCTAGAGTTATGGATGAACTTTCTATAACTTACTTGTGATATTTACTTGATTAATTGATGATATTATTTTGAACAAATTATTTAGCACTTTTGCTTTTCTAATCATGATTATCTAGCCATTATTTGTGATAATCTTAAGGTATTAAATTTGCACTGAGAATTAAAATTTGATACTAGTTCAAAGAAGTGCTAAACTTAGGGAGTTCGTTCATGAGAGCAGAGCAGCATCTTTGTGATTTTAGTAGTTTGTTCCATGTAATTTCATAGAAGAAATGAACTTATAGTCAATTTCGTAACCACGAGAATAGGTATGATTTAATTACAAGTATAGTTGATTCACTATGAGAGTAGGTTTCACATACAATAAGAAATTACGCCATAACTAACCAAGATAACAACATTCAATTAATCGATAATTTCATTTGCAAAAGTAGTGAGGAATTCCATAGCCTTTGGAGCCTTTTATTGTTATTTTTATTGCTTTTATTTCATGTTCGTAGTTTAGATTTAATTTATTGTATTAGTGATAGTCTAAATAATAAATGAGTTTGAAAACTATTGGTAATTGACAATCTTCCCTGTGAAATCGACACTTAATTTTCCTACACTTGGTAAATGATCTGTATACTTGTAAAAAACGAGGTGTTTAAGTTTTATTAAAATTGGGTGCATGGTAGAACTTTGTTACTCTTGTATATTCGTTAGATTAGGATGAAGATAGAGATGAAGTAGGAGAGGATGAAACTTATGTGACAAGTGTTCTTTCTTCTCCAACCTTTTATCTTTTGTATTGGATTCTTAAGTATAGTTAATATGCAAGTTTTAGGCTTTATCTTCATTATATGTTTCTAAAGTTTATGCCTTAGATTTTGGTTGAACTTATTGTGATTGTATCGTGTTGATTTTTTTGGTTGTTTGATGCTATTATTTTGAGTATGTTATTTAGCACTTTTGCTTATCTAATTATATTAACTGACCATTAATTGTAATAATCTTAAGGTGCAATAAGAATTGGAATTTAACACTAGTTTAAAAAGTGCTAAATCTAGGGAGTACACTTATGAAAGTAGAGGTGTACCTTTGTGTATTTGGTGACTTTGTTCCATGTAATTTCAGAGAATAAATGAACTTGCAACTAATTTTATAACCACGGGAATAGTTATAAATTAGTTGTAAGTATGCATGATTCACTACGAGAGTATGATTCACATGCATAAGGAAATTAAGTCATAAATAGTCCAGATAGTGGCACTTAATGATCCAAAAATTGTACTTGCATGAGTAGTTAGGAATATCATGATCTAAGAAGTTATCATTTGCTATTTTCTTACAATTTTAGTGTAGTTTTATTTCCTTTAATTTGTTGATCGTCTAAATAATAAGTATCATTTTGATCTCAAGTTAGGCAAAAGAATAAGTATCTTTTTCCCCCAAGGGGATCCTAGTCCCCTATCCTCTCCTTATCTCTGGCCTAGAGAACAAGCTGATGCTATCCCCTTTTCATTGGCAAAACTCCTAGAAATTCTTCCACACTTTTCATTTCCTCAAGTATCTTGCAAGGCCCAAGTGATAGAACATACACTTCGAGCATGTAAGACCAACCTTATGAAGGGAGAATCCAAGGCGTGTGCCACATCCGTCAGAGATTCTCGTGTAACTGTCATTGTCAAGATTCTCGTATAAATAAGTAGTAACTATGTCTATTAGGCGCATATATAGTTGGTCATGCATTGCAAAACTCACAAATATCTATATGTGATCACATCCACGATAGGTGAATATGTCTCATCGTAATCAAATCCAGATCTTTGTGAAACTTGGATTACAAGTTATACTTTATATCTCAAATAATTTTATTGTTCTTATTTCTTTCTTGCACGAATACCTATTTATATCTCACTGACTTTACATCTTTTGGTGTCTAGACTACAGGCCTAAAAGCTTTTCATTTTGTTAATGAATCCAATTTAGATTGAATTGCATCTTTCCATTTCTACCAATCATTTCTATGCTGATTTTTTTCAACCAATCTAAGTTCATATTTCTTATTTTCTTCTATAATATCAAGTGTTACATTATATGCAAAAATATTATCAATAATTATTTCTTTTCGATTCCATCCTTTCGCAGTAGTGACAAAATTTATTGAATTTTTTATAATTTCATTCTCTTCAGGAGTAAGCTTTTTTGGAGCTGACTCTTCAGGAGTGGCCTCTTCAGGAGGTTCAATTTTATCACTAGTGATATTTCGGAGTCATTGACTAATTCATGACTTTGTTATTTTACCATAATTTAATCCTTTTTTATTTCAAGGATTTTTATTTTTAGAATCAATAGGTCTACCACATTTCAAGCATGCTTTAGAATAATTAACTATAGCACTTATAGGTTGTCCTTCAATGACATTAATTTTGATCAGAACATTTTCAATAGAAATATGTGATTTAATAACACTTTTAAAGTCAGTAAAT